CAGGGGATGGGGCCTGCCTGGTGCTGGGCAGCTGCCCCCAGCTCTGATAGCAGCAACACAGGTTTGAGCAAGCAGCTTTCCCTTTCTGCCCTCGCTGCAGCACCCACACGCTGTCCCAGTGGGGACCAGCAGCAGAGCACCCAGTCCATACTGGGAGTGAGCCGATGGCCCCAGTCACACAGGTCCCTTAGGTGCCACCGCCAACCCCAGCTGAGCAGGCCTAGAGTGAGGGGGATGCTGGGGGCAGCACTCCAGGGGAGGAGGCTGCAAGTTGAGTCCCAGAGCCCCCAGGTCCTGCAGGGCTGAGCCCCTGGCTCAGGGCACCAGGGAGGAGATGGCAGAGACGAGGAGCAGCTGAGGTGCTGGAGGGACCCAGGCAGGAGGCACTGGCACTCGTTAGCTGATGCTCCCACCCTTGAGGCTCTTACATGAGACTCTCCCCAGCTTGGTCAGGAAGTTTCTCTGCTTCCACTGGGCCACACAGTCCTCAGAGACGCGGAAATCGGCCTGGGGAGCAGAGCAGGGGAGGCAGAGGGCAGAGTCAGGCTTGGGCTGCCAGAGGGGCAGCAGCACCTCGCTCAGCAGTGGGGAGGTTTGTCTCCTCCACGGCTTGGCTGACGACAGCAAACACAGCCACCAAGTGCCAACCTTTGGGGTCACCCAGTGGCGGGGACAGTGGCATCTCACCTGCAGCTTCTCAAAGACCTTCTTCTTTGGCTTGAGCTCCTCATCGGGCTGCCCAACCTCATAACCCTCCCCGTAGACACGCCCCCCGGCGCAGCACCCCGCCCGGGGGGCCCAAAAACCAAGCCACAGTCTCCTGACCTCCAGCCCAGAGCTCTCTTCACAGAGACACAGCGCTGCCGGCGGGGGGGTCCGGACTGCAGCCCTGGAGGGGTACATCGCCCTCGTCCCCTTCTCTCACCTGGAGGCACACAGCACCATGCCCTGCGACTCCACACCCCTCATCTTCTGGGGTTTGAGGTTGCAAAGCAGCACCACCAGCCTGTCCTGCAGCTGCTCCCTGGGGACAAACTGCACCAGGCCACTGACCACAGTGCGGGGCTCAGGCTCCCCCACGTCGATCTTCTCCACGTACAGGCTGTCAGCATCCGGGTGCTGCCACGCAGAAGCAAGGTGAGGAGAAGGGAAGGGGACAGGCCCCGCACCCCCCCGTGTGCCCGTGTCAGCATGTGAGAAGGTCACTCCCCTCTCCCTGTTGTTCCCACACCTTTTCCACACTGATCACTTTGCCAACGCGGATGTCCAGCCGGGATGGGACCACGTTCTCTGGCTCCGAGTTCTTGGTGCCTTTCTCTGCAGGCTCTGCAATGCAAAGGGAACACTGGCTCAGGGAGCTGGCCAAGCCCTGGGGAGCACACAGGGACCCCAAATTCCCTGCTTGTCTCTCTGACTGAGAGCACAGCCCCTCTGGCCTCTAAAGCTCCGGAGAAGGACACTGGCATCTGTCCTCTCCAGGACAGGCAAACAGCCCTGGGGCTGGCCGTTCCTCACGCTTCCTAAGGCTGCTTCTGAGCCTGAAGTCTCAGAACTTCTCTCTAACCTCAAGCCCTGGAAGGATTCCATCCCACCTCGTCCTGCCTGGCCAGGACCCATCTCCCTGAGCTCCCAGCACCTCCTTACTGGCTTTGGAGGGGTCGGGATATGCTGCGTTCGTCAGCTTCTTCAGCTCTGGGCTGTTGAATTTCTCTCTGATAGGGTCAAGCAGCTTGTTCAGGGCCACTTCCACTGAGTTCTTCAGGTCTCCAGGATGCACAACCTGTATCATGACAAACAGACAGGAGCCTGCAGGGTTTCCTCCAGGGTTTCCTCCAGGGCAGGACCCGAGTCACTGAGGCCAGAGAGGTAGGAACTGGAGAGCAAGCAGGGCAGGGAGATGAACCCCAACCCTTGGCCTGATTCCCCCTTGGACACCAAAGCCCCTTTTCTGGACACTTTTGCTTCCAGCTTCAACTGGGAACAGCTGACAACAGTCCAACTGCTGCTCTGTTCCAGGATGTAGCTGCTGTGGTCCTGTCCTGCACCAGGACAGTTAGTGTCACCACATCCTTCACCCATCCTCTCACCTTTGGGCTCTCCTGGGTGGGAGCACCCTGCCATCCTACAGGCACCAGGCCATGCTCTGCTCCACGTCTCCCACTGCTGCTCAGAGCCCTCCAGAAAGCCCTCAGGAGCCTCAGGGACAGTCCCTGCTGGCACTCACCTGCTCAGCAAAGTCCTTCTCCAGGGCCTCATAGACTGTGTAGGTTTTGTTTCCTCCCCATTTCTCCTCTCGCAGAACCACAAACTCTGCCACAGACAGATTTTAAGGCTCAGATTAACTCAAGCAAAGACTCACTCCCTGCTCAGCCACATAAACCTCCCGCCCCAGGGCTGGGAGCAGCACCCAGGGGACACAGGGGCCTGCTCCAAAGGACACACGCTCCCATCCCCTCCTCTTACCCACAAGAAAAACCAGACCCAGTGCCAAGCCCCTCACCTGACTTGAGGGGAAAGAGGACGTGCTTGATGAAGGAGAGGACCCCGTTGTTCTCCACGTTCCCTGGCTCACAGAAAGCCTTCTTCAACTTCTTCTTCACATCCTCCTTGCGGTCCAGAAGATCAATCTTTGAGTCCTGCAGGAAGAGATTTCCACAGCCCTTTACCCACCTTCTCACCCAAAAGAACCAACTCACGCTGGAGTTGCTGCAACTTCTTCTTAGACCTCAAGACCCCCTGAGGTGCAGCCTCTCCTCTCCCAGCCATTAACCTGTCCCCCTGCAGAACCCTCGACCTCAGCCACTGCTCAGGGACCAACCTCTTCCGAGGAGCTCATTTTGCTGCCTGTCAGACCAGGAACCATCGGGTTCATCAAATGGACGCGCTTGGCATAGCCCAGGGAAGGAAGGTACTGGGAAAAAAGCAAGGTGACAAGTCATGGATAATCCTCCTCTGAAGAGCAGCTTTAACTCACAATCCCTGTTTGCTCCTGGCTCTGGATAATTGGGGACCCAAAATAACAGGACCCAGGAAGCTATCACGAGCTCACAGGGTGTCACAGCCAGGAGTGTGTGGCAGCACCCCAGGACCAGAAGAGCAGCAGCACAAGCTGTGAAGAACACTTTGGTGCCAACCAACATCACAGGCTCACTTCTCCCAATGGATTAGCAAGTGTCTGAGCTGTGCCCCAGCCACCAGCACAGCAGAGAGCTCAGAAACACCCCCATTTACTGACCTTCTCTGCAAAGGTGAATATTTTCCTCTGATCAACTCCACCAAACTGTGCATCGACCTTGAGGTATTCCTCATCCAGGGCCTGCAGAGACACACACAGCCCTGAGGCTGGGCCCAAGATTCCACACTCCAGCTGTGCTCAGCCCTCAGAGTCCTGCCTGTCCCACAGGATCTGCCCAGCCTCTGCCAGGGCACTTCCACCCCGGGAAGGATGGGAGCTCCCCGGGATCTGCCTCCTGTCCTGCAGCTGCCCAGAGTCGCTGTAAAGCAGCAATGTGCTTGGCATGTGCTGCCAGCTGGAATATTGGGATGGAATATAAGGACCTTGGCCTTCAGCCTCATGCATCCCTGCACCTCCGTGGCCAAGAGGCTCTGCCAACCTGCCTCATCACAACCTACCTGCAGGCTAGGGTAGAGCAAACCACTCAGCAAGGGGTGCTCCACCTCCTTCACCACCTCTGCTCCTGCCTTCTTGGCGTCGTGCTGCGTCACCATGGACGAGAGGCGATACACGTCCAGCGTGTATTCCCTGTGGGAAGGGGCAGCACCGTGAGCACCCGGGACAGGAGCAGCTTTTAGCTCTGCTCCTGGTCACCTGAAGGAGCCAAAGCCTGGAGGCACCTTCACTTTGCTCCTAAATGACAGTGCAGGCTGAGAGCCCCAGGTCAGGCTCTCCCTTGCCCACAGGACTCACTTGCTGAGCTGGTAGTCAGTGCCCCGGACGAACTTCAGCTTCTCCAGGGGCACCCCGATGCTCTCCAGCACGGCTTTGATCACGTTCTCATAGTAACGGGTCCGCAACTCCAGCAGCTCCCAGGGGGCCTTCATGTTGTCCAGGTAAGCGTGGAGGTCAGCAAAGAGTATGGTCACCTACGACAGAGGGGCACAGTCGGTTCCCATCCAGCAGCATGGCCACACAGCGCCCAGCCCAGCCCGGTACCTCGCATCCAGCCTTCAGGAAGTCTGCGATCTTGGACATGGGCACGAAGTAGGCGACGTGAGGCTTGCCCGTGGTGGCTGTTCCCCAGTAGATCTTTAACTCTCGCTCCTTCAGGATGGCCATGAGCTTATCCTCGCCCAGCACCTCCTGTGGACGAGGCC